CTGTTGGATTTCTCCAGTGGGAATAACGGGGTTTGACACGGGTGTTGACGAGCGAAAGAGATTGCTGTACAATCTCTTCGTAACCGATTCCTTCTTTTGTCGGGAAGATGTGCGAGTCCCGTCTTTGTTTAGTAATGTTGTCAGCGGAACACGATAGTCGAGAAGGTCCCTGTTGTACTTCTTTAGGCTTCTCCTTCCATGTGGCTTCCAAAAGTTTCATTGCCTTTACTTCCAAAGATCTTCTTGCAAAGCTGTTCTGCAACTAGTATTGGCTATTAGTCGCTCGAGATATAATGCACTCGAGTTCACCCAGTGCTCTCCTCCTCTAAAGCAGATCTTTGGCTTTCGAAATTTTTTCAAATTCTTAGTTTGAGACATTGAGGCATTTTCACCACACATTGTCAGCCCTCTCAAAAGCAGTATTCCTTTGATGGATCTCCTTGAGGGCGTCAACAAGTGGTCAGGAGCTCCCCCAACTTGACGCCATGATATACAAGTTTTCTCCCAATACGGTGACAGATCTTCTTTTTCAGCTTTCGGCTTAATCGCAATTTTGTTTAGGAGTTGGGAATCTGAACCACTGCTGAAGGATAGCACTAGTAAAACGTCCAGTGCTTCCAGTCTACCGCTGCTATTCTTTCTTCAGGCAGATGTTGCCAAACGCGCGGCGGATAAGAGCCCAACAAGACGGCAACCATTTTCATTCCGGAATCCTGGTTCAAATCCCCGATCCTATGCTCCCCTTATTTTGGCGTACCAGTCTTCGCATTGAAGTCACCCACGACACAGAAAGAATTTTCTTCGCGGGTGACATCCTCCACATCCTCATTAAAAGCAACTACTCCCGACTTATCGGCTGCTGATGTTGGAGATGATAGGTAGTTGGTGGTCCCTGCAGCTTCGAGAAGGACGGCGTGGTGGATACTGTTCCAGCGTTGTAGGTGCAAATCATGAGACAGTCTCCATGCCAAGTCGTGACTTGTCTTGATCCGAAGTCGTGGCGTCCTGTGCAACCTGAACTGACCTTGATGACGTACGCAGGAGGTGTGATCCATTGTACAAGGCTTTTTCCTTTTTTATGCTGTACAAGCAATGAAGTTTTTCCTCAAACTTAACAGCCTTGTGGGTGCGTGCTAAGCTTTTACCACAGGCATTCGCTGACCAATATGGATGAGGGAACCATGCCAGCGACTGGATCAGTCCTTGGCAATTCTGACAAGGCCTACCCTTAACTTGGCTTACGGTATCGTCAAACTACTCTCAGTTTGGGAAATCTGCTGAGGACAAACCTACGCTGTACTGTGGAGTTCGACGCCCAGAGGCATCTCGCGCCACAATGAGGTTGCAGATCGTTGTGGGGAGATATTAGTGCAGACTTATAACATTTCCTCTTGTTTTCCAACAAGAACGTATGCTATCTGTATATAAAAATCCTTTAAGACCGTTCTTTTTGAGAGGTTCCCATCTTCACCTCTAAATGTGAAGGTATATACAGCGCCGGATGAAGGGGGCAGAGGGCTAGATTACGAAAATTCGAAAAAGAAAACAAAAAATTGGTGCGATAAAAAATCTCAAAATGAGTTTTTTTGGAATTATTACTGAAATTCTGAGCTAATTAATTTGAAAAAAAAACTTCAGACATTTTCGCCAAAAAGGTGCATGGCTTGAGTTTTCAGCCACCCTTGCCGATTTTTCTCCCGCGCAGGAGTTTTCTGTAAGCGCCAGTAATACAGGAAACATTTATGAGGACCTTATCAGTTGAGTAGCTTTGCTTCCACTATGGGAGTAAATTAACCGTATACTTTGGACTAATTGAGCGTAAAATGGAATATTTCTTCAGTATATGATTCCTGTGCCAGTTTTTATTAGCAAGATAACCAAGCCGTATGCAAACGGTGTTCTGCCATGCTTTTTTGTGCACAGTTGAACACTGCGTCTTACCAACGTCAGCGCAAATACACTTGAGTTTAGATTTGACCTGGCTGTAGAGGGAAAGGCTGAGGTGCTTTGTGGTAGTTACTGTCGTCGTCGTCGTGCACAGAAATGACTGACTAGCAGGTAGAGGTTCTAATCCTCGAAAAACTTCTTCACCAAAAAAATTACCTGAATGGTGGATTCTATAAATGGTTTCTTTCTTTTTTTCCCTTGAGTTATTAATATAATCAAAGATGGAGTAACTGGTCGAATACTCAAGTTGCATAGAAAACTTGATATGAT